AACTTTGAGAGTACGTTATTGGCAAAAACAAAAAAGGTGCAAATTTGTTTAGCGAAAACAGAGTCGTCAGTCGAAAACATGCAAAGTGCTTGAATAAAACGTCAATTTTCTAAGACAATACTGTTCAAACATAGCCAATAATTCCATTAGATTGTGTGTGTACACATATTTATGCTGATCAAAAGGAAGCAAATACAAAGTATAAAGTTTCGGTAATATAATTATCATATTTCTACTTCTGGAAGAGTAGAATGCTTGTTATGAATCATATAAAAAAATATATATAAAAAAACAAAACATAATATAATTTTAATTTTACTGAGACGAGAGAAATTCGAACAACTGTAATTGAAACCAAACTGTAACTGATATTGGAAATAGGGAATTTCTAAGCAACTTTTTATAATCTAACAGTGTCAATAAAAAAAGAGAAATCAATGCCCCCCTTTTTGCATATATGTGGCACTATACCGTTTACATAATGATATGTAAATATCCTTCACAAAAAGGTAGCCAAACAACTTAATTGAAAGGAACAAAGGAATATTCTACGATTGGCCATTTGGCGAGACACTCTGTGTATAAAAGCCATATGTTACAAAACAAAAAGATGCCAAATCGTGGACATTGTTTCCCATTGTGGTTTACATCTGATAATGTATATTTTGTATTCTTTTGTTTAATGCATATTATACACTTAGTGTGTAATGCTCCCTTAATAGTTGCATAATACGAATTATGAGCATCATCATATTTTAACTGCTTTATTCATCTTATGACACCATCGGCTTCTCTCATTTCCACGCTGTTATTACAGAACCATGATGTGAAACCTAGCAATTTGATATAAAAGAATGCCTGTCATTGTCTATATTTTGTCTCTATATGTTATGTAGTCTGCTAAAAATCATCATGTTTTGTCTATTTTACCTTATAATTAAAGATAACAGAGTACAAATATTATACCTTAAGTGATAAAAGTATAACAAAATAATGTAATATCATTTATGTATGTTAAATTGCTAAGGAGAAGTGCATATGTACTTGACACAATGGGATGAGCAAAGGAATAAAGTATTTTTATATGTTTTTTCGACTTTGTACTGTATCCAAATATTTTACCATTCTAATTTCCTTTTCAAATAATATCAGCAGTTTACAAAGACGAATTATGTTTGTTTTACATTTATATAACTTAGTCAAGAAGTAATGTCTTTACACGTGTATGTTCACATTTTAAACACTCGTAACTATTCTAATCACGTATAGTTTCATTTTTTGAATACAAGCAACCTAATGAATGGAATATTTCCTGTTGTAAAAATTTTAAAACGCGAATTAGTACTTATCTATACTTATTATTTAACCTTTATTGAAACAATATCATGTTATTTCATAAAAGGGGCATATGGCCAAAAACAGTGGTATGAAATAGAGTAATATTGAATTAAAATATGCAAACATCATACCCGTTAAAATACAAAGTTGAATTGTATAATACAAAATAACTTTATGTAACTGTTTTTTCCAATATTATAATAGTTAACAATTAGGCATGGTAAAAATGTTTATATTTGATCTTTCATTTATAATTGCTGACGGATTTTGGCATCATATCAACCGAGATTGATGAGCATCGTTATATCAGATAAGGCAAAAGATATGTTTGTAATAAATAATCATTATTTCAACGGTACTTATACAGATGGATTATTCAATTTGTTTCATATTATAAAATACTTCCTTTACACACCAATGAATGATTAATTTATGTACCTGTAAAACTGCATAACTTATCTATGCATATACTATTGAATTATTATCGGATAAATTGGCATCATAATGCAGATACCTGATATAACTTCATGTTTTCATTTTTATATTTTCTATCATTTTATTATAAACATGGGTTTTTTATGAAAGACATTTAACTTCAGCTCTGTTCATTTTTCCAACCACTTCGTAAAAAGATCTTTATATAACTTTAGGTTGCATACCATATAATATGAACCTAATCATCAAAAATTCCATCAAAATCAAATTAAATCTCAATTCGTGTATAGATACAAAGGTTTTATGAACATATTTAAATAAATGGCAGGCGCTGACATTTTTGTTTTAATCACAGTGGGCCGAAGAATTTCGACATTAAATTGCGCAATTTCCAATGACACCTTTCTAGTTTTCATTAAAGCAGGCTATTTGTTAAATTTCACTAGAGTTTGTGAGATTTTTACTAAATACATAAGTTGATAGCCTAGTCTCAAAGGAATTTGAAGCAGATTTTCTACATGTTCTAGCCAAATCCCAGAGGAGCCCCTCCATTTAAATAACCACATGACTAAACTACAACTGATATTATAACTGACTATAACTACAACTAGTTATTGCGCCAATATTAGCGTCAAAATAACGTGACGTGCATTTTATTCTTGCATGTCAGACAGGATTATCTACCGTTTACACCGGTGCTAGAAAACCCTGTCTTACACCTCCATGTAAGACAAGTCGCGTGCTTTAAATGACGTCATTGCTGCGCGCCTTTAATGAATGAATTTCGTTCTTAGGATGACGTCACTTAACCGTTATGAATGAAGTTGTAAGTTCATACGCTACTATAAGAAAAAAGTGCGTTATGAAAATATCAGGTTTCGTTATTTCTGTTCTGAAAATAATTGGTATGTAATATGCAAGAAAAAGAATCAAACACCGGCTGTCGGTACAGACGGGAATATCTAGCTCTCGGGTAACTGTTTAAGCGGAAACTCGGCAGAGCCTCGTTACTGCTGTAAAAAGTTACCCTCGAGCTAGATATTCCGGTCTGTACCGGCAGCCAGTGTAAGATTCTTATAATATGTTATTGTGTTGAAGTTGACATCCGATTATTAGTAATCAACCAACGTTATATTGAATATATAGCGCACTCTTTATTATTCTAACACTACCGGAATTTTTTCTATAATTTATAAACAAATAAGGCCCGAAGCGTGCATTATTCTACAACAATGCACTCGCCGTTCTTATTACCTCCCTGTGTATTTTCACATTTAGGGCGCTATTTTGTTTGAAAAATCTGATAAATAAAAACATTTGTTGTCGAATTTTGTTGTGAAAACTATCTAGAATGAAAGAAAATGGTCTAACTAAGAAAATGATTCGAACACCAATACCTTGAATTCAGTCGTGAAAATGTTTCTACACATGGTAGATTGAACGACAGTTTTTAAAATGGAGCAGCCTTTAAAGAACGTTTCTATTGGAAACTCTGAGGCGAAAACAAATTTACTACCAAACATAAAGTCCAGCTATATTTTTTCTTGACGTGTTAGAATGGAAATAGATATTAATTCTTCGTGCATTATTGTATAATAATCGGCCTTCGTAATTGTATTGTATTACAACGCATTTGAACACAAATCGTGCATTATTCTACAACAATACACTCAGAATTGATAACTATTTCCTAAATATTTAGTGTTTAAACAACACCATCATTTACCCCTTTATATCCCATATATAAATATCACAAGTCAGATAAAACAAAATAAAAAGGCGTGAAAATCTAGTGTAAGTTGATATGATATCTTTATTTCATTTAGATAAAGTCAGAAAATGAATCATTCTTAACCATTCATTAGTATTTGTTTACGTTGAAAACACGGTCATAGTAATTTAGTCATTGATTTTAATTTGTAGTTTAAAATTTAATGTAATCGTACTTATACTATGTATACTTTTTTATATTCACTGAATGTTAAATTTATGACCTGTGATTTCTTTTTTTTTTCTGTATTGTTTTCGTTTTCATTGTTCCTTGATCTTCCCCTTTTCAAAATTTTAAAAGATTCTAAGATTAAAATAATATTACAACATAGCAACCAGGTGGCACTGTTCAAGTCAAGTCTGTCTCTTCTTCTTATCTTATGGATGCATTTGTCGCATATGTACAGAGGTTTATGTTATTCCATCCATTCACAGCCCGCATAAACTAGCTCATGGTACAGTTGACTCGTAACACAAAAAAAACCGAATTTCATAAGCATTAGGTCTACTAAGAACTACACCAGTCTAAAAGATTTTGAAAGCACGGGCGTAGAAACCTACACAATGAAAACAATATGAAAATATGTTTTTCTTCTAATTTTAAACGATTATTGAACTTGAGTTCAAATACGTTCTTGTATCTGTTTTAATATAATCTCGACTTTTGAAATATGTTTTAAGGAACGTTATTCATGACATATTTGGTTTAACACTGATCTATAATAAAGGTCCATTATCCCTAAATTATCCCTAAAAAGAATAGTTATTTACTTTATTTGGAAAAACAGGACAAGCGTGTATTTAAAATAAAATAATTGTTAAAGAACATGTAACCATATTATGACGGTAAATTTGAAATCATTAGCACTTAAACAAAATAATATTTTGACCTCATACAAAAAACTGTTATTAATCCCCCCCCCCAAAAAAAAAGAACAAAAAAAAAACAACAACAAAAAAAAACAAACAAAACAAAAAACAAACAGATGAAAAAGATGGCTCAGGTAATTAAGCAATAAGTATCATAATGGAAACTGCTAGAACATTTGTAGAAAACATAAAAAATAAACGCTTTTAGAAAATAAAAAAGCATTTTTAAAGACTAATGGGCTTTAAGATAATAATAATAATAATAATAATAATAATAATAATAATAATAATAATAATAATAAAAATAATAATGATAATAATGATAATTATAAATTATTATTATAATTATTAATAATAATCATGGGTATACAAAATGTAACTAACATGTACATATCGAGCCTATAACTTGCATTATTGACTAAGTAAGGAGAAATGTTTTTCATTGTGCCTAAATTTGACCTTTCATTTCGAAATCATATCGGTTGAATTTAAAGCTCTGAGTCAGTGTTTAATCTTGTATATCACATGGTAGTATTAGAAGTATCTGATAACACTTTTTATAAATATAAACCCAATGTCACCGAGAGAACATTATAGTATTTGCTGGGACATTTAAATCTTGGGAGAAATTTTATGTTGTCGTTATAAAACAGTTTTTATATTATTTCGGTTAAATTTGGGCAAACATTTTTCACCATGTTTGCAATCAGGATTGCTTTCTTACTGTATTTAATTGTGCATTTAAGCACGTGCCTTAAGAGAACAGACGAAACTGTTGATTATTTCAAATTGATTCAGCACGCGCAAAGAACTAGTGAGGCGTCGAGGAAATATTCTCTAGAGGAGAACGCGCTACCAATTGAACATTTACAAGTGACGAACAGTTACGAAAAAGTGTTAGCACGTGCGGAAGAGATTCAGGCGTCCGGTTTTGATGACGTAAGCCCTTATGATGTTAGCAGTGTATGTTTAAACCATACAAAATTATTAATTGATGCATTGATACGACGGGAGCCTTGGGCATGGAGAAGTAAGTATTTTATGACTGCTTTAATATAGTTTTCTTTGCATGTAAAAGAAAATATAAAAAAAATATAGAAAAGAAACGGTCGCTAGTTAACTGTGTCAAAATCTCTATTTACATTTACACTCATTTTGGATAGTTGTATTACTAAAAATGAAAGATCTAGTTCTTCAACTCTACACATTTGTATAATCAGTAGGGTTTTGCGTGATTGAGAACGATCAGTATAAAAGTCGGTTATAAATCGAAGTTCGAATTATCAGGAGTGAATTGCTGAGTGTAACAAAAGATAACACGATAAGTCTGTGGTACACTCGCTGACCTGTCTTCGTATGGGTTTTGAATTACATAGATCAGATAACGATTTCAACCCTGTTAAAAGTTAACCGACTAAAAAATGGTTGAAAAAGGATCTATGATTTATGTTTTACATATTTGCTCAGCATACTTCAGATATATATCTAACATTATTTATATATAGCAACGCCATGAACGATATCAAAGTAAACATTACAAAGTAAAGATTAGAGTTGAAAATGTAGTGACACTGTTTATTACTGAAAGGGAGGTAATGTTCACAGGAGAAGCGTTATTTTCAGTTTATTTTTTTTAATACTTTTGTCTCCCTTTTAGGCACTTTGTCTATTATGAATGAGCCCCATGGATAACAACAGATACTCTAAAGTACTTTTTTTGTAATTTAAAGTCAATAATATATGTAATTAATTTACTTTGGCTAAACACGGATAATACAGCATATAAGCATATTTAATGTAAAAAATCAAGGGTATCAATAATTGTTGCTTTTCATTTCAGTCGTTTTACTAAACAAGCAAAATTTATAAATATTAAGCCCGAAACCACCAATATTTTATTCCAAGAATAGATAAATGCGTATTCTAAAATAATTCGCACATTCACAGTTTACATTTCATTGTTCACGACGCTGGGCATGCATTGAAACTTGCAATTATGATACAAATTATAAATTGTTTATATCACGACGGATTTTTGTACACTTTTATTTGAATAACGTAAAACAATGTGGCTGAGGGGTTTAAGTTTTGAGGCATCAGAATTGCAACCACCGTGTTTTCCTGTGTGATCGTAAGAGGCGACTATACGGGTTCTAATTACTGGAGTCTGTGCATCCCTTAGCTACAAAAGGTGAAGCGATTTCGATCCCTGATGTTTCTATCACCCGAAGTTAACCAAAAATCATCTCTCCTGTTTTAGCGACATATGACCAAAGTTGTGTTGGTGTGCCGTTAAACCAGAAACTTATGATTTGATTGGGACTTAGTGTATGACTGGTTTCCTTAGAACGATACAAACATGAATTCCTACGATGAAAAGTAAAAATCTTAAATGAATTATAAAAATGCATTGAATGAACAGCGGTTAGAAAACGTTTTCTTCACAATTGCCTGTTCAAATGTAAATACTTGTACTAATGACGATATTACTGTTTGTAGTGATTGATGCCATGGGGAAACCCCCTAGTGGTATCATGGACTTTCATATTCATTGGATCGGGGAATGGAGTGAATGCATTGACGTGCAGGCAATCGAGTACCAGAACCCTGCTAATAAAACGGGGCCAAGTCACCCTTTTACCGGCGAATATTGTTTGGCGTCTATACCCTTGGGAAATCAGGTAAATTGTCACACAAAGACTGTTAGGGTCATGCGCTGACTTTCCATTTTTACTGGTAGAGGAACACTTAAGGTGCATTTTCGCAAACACATTATTATTTCCGGCAATCGGGCATTTGAGAACCAAACACCGATATTCATTAAACTTGCTGGATAGCTTCCTCGCAAATAGTGATAATGATAATGATAATAAAAATAATAATAATAATAATAATATAATATAATAATAATTATTATTATTATTATTATTATTATTATTATTATAATAATAATAATAATAATAATAATAATGATAATAATAATAATAATAATAATAATAATAATAATAATAATAATAATAATAATAATAATAATAATAATAATAATAATAATAATAGCAGTAGTAGTAGAAGTAGTTATAATGAGATAATAATACTTATAATGTTGGAATATAAGTGATATTGTATTGACATTTTCTTCAAGCAAAGGCCTTATCTTGCAATAGTTACATATACAGACAACTTATTGCTTTATTTTTTGTACAGGGAGCACTTGGACAGGCCGCAGTTTTGGCCATTGGGATGTGTTTCCCGGACACGTGTAGTTCTTCTGATGCAACGGCTTTGGCAAAAACACGTATGCACGTTAAATTATTTTGTATAAGGCATGAATTGATTGACATATTGTTCAAAGAATCACTTCAACGACCGTTTGCCGTAACAACGTCGATATGACGTAAAACCAATTATCCCAAAAGATACTATATGCCATTAAACCTTGATTTACCTCATTCATAAAGTTTGATTAATCTTTTTTTCTTTACATCGCAATTAAGATTTTTGTTGACACTACCTATTCTTATCGATTTTCAGTGGTGAGCTTGATAGATGTGAATGCAACGTCACGTGTACAGGTCACGTGTCAAGAAAAGTCTCTGGAATATACTGGAAAAGCTATAGCAGTCATGTAAGAAGTGAATCTTTATATTATTTAAATATTGGTGTGAAAAAAAATGACGAAATGTAAAGCCCTGTTAACAATTTAAGTGAAATGCATAAATGACGTCAGATTATTTGGACTTTGTGCTGACTCTTCCTTGTATAAATTTGCTTGTCGTAGTTTCTATGATAAGTATATAAGTATTTTGAAAACTACTGTTGTGAATAAAGAATGAATAAAGACACGTTCTAGCATTTACTATGATTTTTTTCACATTTTTATTATTAATCTAAAAATGTTGAATTCACACATCTATAGCTAGCTGAAATGTTTATTCTTTTTCTCGAGAAAAGACCATTTTCCACTAATCAACTTTGTACACAACTGCCATTCGAAAACAATGGCTTATTATAAATGATTTCAAAAACATGTGAGACGTGTACAAAATCGCCATTTTTGCTTTGTCGTTTTATTATACCTAATTATTAAACTAAATAAAAATGCACAACAAGCAAAGTCATGTCATTGTAATAAAAATGTGTTGTTTGCCTTTCGGATTTTTTGTTAAATATACGGTAAGCATTAACGCATATAACTGTGTGATGCTGTTATATTTTTTCAGCGTTATATGTTCACTATTTGCGGCAGTTATCGTTCTTGCAACAGCCTACGACATCTTCCTTAATCATTATATGGCGAGCAGAGAGTCAGAATACAAACTAATAGTATAACATTTATATATTGCATTAATTCATTTTGAACATCTTACTCTTTATTGTATTCATAAGTCAGTTGTTTAAACAAAGCAGTTGTAATTTATATGTACACAGTTGGCTGCATCAAATTTGAGTCAACTTCTTTGCATTTATGACTCTCAGATATACGAAAAAGACAGAGTGTCTTTACTACGTGACTTCTCGTGATTTGGACATAAAACCAATAAACCAATACAAAAGATTATCAAGATATAGAGGATATTTGTTTGTTTGTGTGTAAGATGAAATTTTATTTCATCGAGTGGGCTTTAAAAACAGTATTCTCACGAGTGGCGTAGCCACGAGTGAGAATACTGTTTTTAAAGTTCACGGAGATGAAATAAAATTACATCTTACACAACAAACAGACAAATTTTTCTTTTTATTTTATGCTTTAAAAACAAGTTAAAACGAATTTCCATAATTTTAACGTTAATATTAAAATCTGTTTCCCCCATTGAGAGCCCCATTTAGAGGGAATTTCTCATTAAAAACAAGAAGTCTTGGGCTGAAAATAAGTCCGCCAATGAAGGTTAAATGAATGTGATATCTATTCATTTTTTAAAAAAATATGAATGATCGCTTGTTTTAATAATAAAAAACAAACAATTCTTGTAGGAGAAAAAGTCCAACCATCCATCCATATTTCTGTTACTTACTGCGAATTTATATTAGACCTGGCTTTGTAAATGTAAACGGCAGCCATTTTTTTAAAGTCGTGTACTTCATGGGAGGAAAATAATTGTGTAAGATACAGAAGGATATAATTTGGATTTGTTAGTCATACACCTTTTTAAAAGAAAGAAAACTTATTTGAGGATTGTAACAGACAAAAAAGAAGTGTTGACAGAAGTGAAAACATTCAGAAAAGGAGCTAGGAAAATGGAAAACTTGGAAGCTTGCTAAGGCATTGTAAGGAACGCTGGGTTAATTTACTTATTTTACGAGTGATAGCTGTCAATGCTTTCCAATTTTTCATAAAGCATACGGCAGTTATTGCTCGTAGGATACTTTAATATGCCCAAATGTCATCAAGAGCAGTTTTGCATGGGGAAGGAATGTATTTTTCAGACTGTAAAAAAAAAAAGAAACAAAAAAATTTAGAGACGAAATTTTGTGATTGGAATTTGAAGGAATAGAAGTAAGTTTTCTCTCTTTATTACTTTTGACATTTAAGTTATTTATCTATTTCATCTTTGCTATTTTTTTAACAGCCTGATATTGTCAGACTTGTCAGTAAAAATAAAATTGAGGTACCACATGGGGAAAATCTTAAAAAAGTAGTTTCGTCATTGAAAAAAATGAAATTATATTTTGATAATTTTCACTGTGAAATTATCAAATATAATTTTCACGGATAAATCAGTAATCCACTGAAAAGCATAAAATAAAGTATTTTCCGCCATGACTTTTTAATATATTATTGACATTTATGGGATAAAATGTCGAGTTTGCTTATTCTAGTTATTTGTTATACTAGAGTATTCAGTCTGGATTTTTATAATAAACGTTGAGAAATATGACGTCAAATTATGACGATTTTCAAGATCTCGTTAATAATAAAGAAATTGCTAATTCTTACACTATAAGTATACCAATACTGAATGTTCGAGTACAGATATTGAATTTGCCAGAAGACTACCCAGCTGGCATACTTAAGATAGGTCGATGGTTAAACTCAGGTGATTGTATATTATAAAGGTACATATATGTAAGCTTGTAACATATTAAATATTCATGTACTGACCAAGGAAATCATATATTGTAGAATAATGGGACCGACTACGGTGCCTTTAATGACGTCACAAATGAACGCGATGGAAACAGATACGTCATAGATACGTCCGAATCAACACCGCTATACGCTGACAAAGGTAACCAAGATTCCAGAAACGATGAAATATCCTATGCCGGGCAAAACACGTTATTGAAAGCCGGATCAAAGGCAGTAAAAAATGAGCTAACAGGTAAGGAAAATAGATAAATAAATGAAAAAATAATACAAGTAGAATTTAGGAAATTAATGCATTCTAGATCTTAACTGTTTGGAAATTTTAGGTAAATGGCGACAATACTGTGTCGGTTATTTCAAAATTTTTAACTCTGGTTACTTCCCCTGAATTTCCTATTCATAAGATGTACGTATTAACGCGTTAGCCATTATATGCTGACAATTATCGGACGAGTTCGAACAACATCTTAATCCTATTATAAACTTTAATCCTAATATTAAACTGACTTTTCAGAACATGTTAATCTTTATCAAATGTAAAACAAAAGGAACACGTTTTCAGTCCTTTGAAACTAAAGCAGCTTTAAACAGATCAAGAACTGTGCATTGTACCGATATAGTAGTTCTGAAGAAAAAAAAAAAACAAGAAAAATTCAAGTTGAGATACATACTACTCCCTGCCACCTTTTTTTTTAGAAATATTCAGTAAAGAAGAATTCAGTAAAGAATTAATTTCTTAATTGCTTTATTTCCAGGAAAAATGGCCAACCTGTTATTATCATTCTCTGTTTACTCAAATGCGCCGAAAATATTTAGCACAAACCAACCATCTGGAACATTGACAAGCGTAAATGGTATACGGTTTCTGAGCATGACATGGGTCATATTAGGACATACGTATGCCTTTGGATTTACTTTAACCGGTACGTCTTGAGTCATATATTTATTAACTAATACTATAATATGAAAATGTCGTTTAAAGATAATGGCTTACAGGGTTGTCTTTTAGGAATGTGGCATTGAAATTGCAGCCACTATTTATCCCCGTAACAGCGGACTTATGGGTTCGAATTACTGGAGTCGATACTTTGCTTATGCATTTCAAATTTGTGTTGATAGACTCTGAATTAATGCGTAAATGATGTAATGACCAAGTAAATTACACAAATTCACCATTGCATCGGTTATTGTATGAAAATAAACCACTCTAAACTAATGGTTGATAATTTAGATAACATCTTATTGTTTTTGAAGTTGCTAAATACTGATAAAATGTATTATTTCGCAGAACGCGCATGCGCGAAAAACTACTTCCGTTTCTATAGAAATATCATATTGTAAATACTATAAAAGGTCTGATGTTTAAATGATTTGACTTAATCCCCCCAAAGGATTTTTGTGTTGACAGCTCATACACTTTATTATATGAAATGAAATGTAAAAATGAAAACAATTACTGAAAAGATGATGTTTTACAAGAGTATATTATATTGGACTTCACTTCACCGGGCTCTAGAAGCGGCAATAACTAATACCTAAACCAGAAACTCTTGGCCACTCGTAATGTCCATTAGGGCTGACCCATTCAGACAATTTTGCAGCCTTTAACCTATCAAAAAATGGTTCAATCTTATAAAATACAAAATTAAACAAATTCAGCACATATAATTGTAAAATATTGAAACTTTTGAAAAATGAAGCTTAATTATTTAGTTGCATTAATGACACCGTTCATTTGAATAAATCATTATATCTCTGATCTACCAATTTCAGACAATGCTGCCACATTCTACCCCGAAATGATTAAGAGATTCACATTCCAGGCCATTTCTAATGCTACCGTTTCTGTTGACACGTTCTTCGTTCTCAGGTAAAACCCTTTACCTCTTTGAGAGTAAAACACAAAGAAAGAATAAGGAAACTGAAGAAAACTGTTGATTATAATTGTCTACAACAAATAATCACACTATTTGAACACCGTTCAGAATACAGCACGTTTTGTAACGTCGCTTTTCAATGGATAATCGTCACGAATATATAATGTATCTATAATACGTCACGGTTGTAACGTCGTTTTTAATTGGATAATCGTGACGTTTATATAGATTCATATACACGATTGCTGACTATTTATAAAAAAAAATCTCACTGTTTTCTCTAAATAAGAAAGTTTGTGTAATTATAAATTTGAAATAAATATTCCTGACATGATATATTCCTCGTCTAGCGGCTTGGGTTATATATGTTGAATCACCATTAGGATATGCTGCATGCCTATTTTTTAACTTTGTCTTTTGACGTCTTATCTATGGTATGCAGGCTTCATAACCTCTTATTCCCTTTCAAAATTTCATTTTGTTTAGTTTCACCCATTGTGTTCTTGTTTAGAGCACGCGCCTTCTATTACTTGGGGACCATACGCCGCTTTTCATGGAATGACAAGGAAGTGTCTCATTGAAGGTTCCATGATAACCGCTTTATTTACACATTATGTTTCTTAATTCAACATTTTACAATTCCATGTTTAAATGTTGAATTCCGCTTAAGCCGATGACAGGGGGCGTGGACGGTAGTTTGCTATTGACAATACCGTCCATGAACAGGCTCTATCAAACCGAGCCTGCAAAATTTTGAATTTTGCCGTTTTGGGCTCTCTTTAGGGATTTTTATTTTCTCTATTTTACATATGCTTCAAACCATTTATAATATATATCAGTTAAAATGAAGCATTTTTTGCTTGCAGTATTATATATTCGTTATAAATATTCCCGACAGGTTATATTGCCAAATATATACAGTTGTTTGCAATATTACCCTCGCATAGCGGCTCAACAACCGTTTTTAAGGGGCCATAATACCTGTCAACAGCTTTGTAACTTATAATATATAAGGCTGCTGTTGAAAATATTAACAACTAATTTATTAAGATTATTAAGACAGGTTTGACAGGTTATATGGCCTTATATAAACGATTGTTTGCCTATATAACCCAAAGGAACCAAATAAAAACAGTAGCCTTCGCAATGATCACTTTTTAACCAATTAAACACACTATAATATTCTGACTAATTGAACGTTTTTAATACTAGGCAGACTAATTTGTTGTTTTTGCTGTTGTTGATGTTGTTTGTTTTGTCGTTGTTGTTTTCAGTGGATTGTTGGTGTCGTATCTTTCTCTTCGTGAGATGGAAAAGAGGGGTGGCGCCCGTAAATTTAAGTGGGGAATGTTTTACTTTCATAGATTCTGGAGGTAAATATCATAATAAAAGTGAATGGTGTCTTATAATTATGTAAATGAAGTCATATGTTTTTGTGTGTCAGAATTATGGCATGAATATAAATGAACATCATCTTAAAAAAAACTCTACTTATTATTTAATTTAGTTTTATTTCTTACGACAGATATATTTGTATCTAGAACCTTGTATGATAGATTTTCCTAAAAAAATGTTTCCATGGCACAATGACCTTTTAGGCTTATTTGCATTTAAATTTTTCATAACATCGTTTCTGATGATGCAATTTTTGGACGTTTTTATCATATGTACATTATTAAGTGTTAAACAGTTTATGTTTTTTTCTCTAAGATTGACACCACCGTATATGTTGCTACTAATTTGCTTATTTTCCAACCCTTTAAATTTTGGGGAAAATGGCCCCGGGGGCGGCCCAAAAAAAATTTTGGGGGTTGTTTGTAGCCCCAAATCAAAGGATCCCTGGGGGAAATTTAATTTTTTGTTTTATAAACCCAACTTAGTCAGATCTAAAAAATGGTATATATAATCGATCCCAATTAATATGAAATAAAAAAAATTTAAATTAAAAAAACCAAAATGAGTGAAAAAATTTACAAAAAAAACTTCAAACTTTATTGATTTAATAAAAATAGATAAAAAAAATAAGTTAAATGATAATTTTAAAAAAACTTAATTCCCGTATTTTAAAAACTTTTTTTATTAAAGTCAACACCTTTGGTTTACTTTTTACAATAAAGCGTTTTTTCCCCAAAGAAAACCTTTCGGGAAAATTGGGACTTTGTTTCCAAAGACAATTGAGAGAAAACTTTTTTAAAGCAACTTTTAAATCTTATGAAAATATCATAAAGAAAATTGTGCTGTAAAAAATAAATACCAAATAAAAATTTTAATTTAAATTTGTCTAAAGTAATTAATAACCCAAATTTAAAATCCCCCGGGTTATCTTTTTAATATAAAATTTAACTTAAATTTACAATTTTTTCTTTTGGGAAAAGTTTTATGGGAGGGGAGCTTTTTTCCCCGGGGCTAATGACATGCAGTTCTATGTTTTTCATTTCCTTTTAAATTTGCGGGTTTCCCTTGTACAAAGAAAAGTTTTTCCCCTCTATTTAAAACCGATCGTTTGGGGAACGCCCAATTTAACAAGGCTTTAAAAACCACCTTTTTTAAAAAAGGGTTTTCAAATTTAAATTTTTAACTAGGCTAAATTTCCTTTCATTAAACCCTTTTCCCTAAAAACCTCCCATTTAACCATCCCCAAATTCCCACGTTTTTAAAACCAGGCGGGAAATTCCCTTTTAACCAATTTTAAAATCTTTTTTAACCCCGGGTCAAATTTCCTTTTTAAACCAGATTTTTACGTCCTTTTAACCACTCAATAAAGTTTAAATTTGGGTTTTTTTAAAACCCATCTTTAAACGTTTTTTACCAATCAATTTTAAATTTAAATTAATACAGCCCAAATTTTCCCCTTCATTAAACCCAGACCCTTTTCCTTTTAAACCATAAAGGTTTTTTTCTTTTAAACCCAATTAAAACCTCGATTTAACCGGGTTTTCTTTGGGGCCTTTCACCGGGCTCAATCTTTTTCTTCCCAAAAAAACTTAATCGTTCTTTAAAACCGGGAACGCATGCCCCCTAAAAGCCCAAGCTGAAACTTTCTTTTCCCAAGTTTAAACCTTCCTTTTAACAAAGCTTTTTCCCTCCTTTTTAAACCGGGTACAAATCCCAATTTAACCGGGTTTTAATTAAGAGAAACCCTTGGGTTTTTTGAAAAACTTTTTTTGTTAAATGCATTTTTAAATTTTAAAAAGGGGTTTAAACAAAAGGGGGAAACCGGGCTCCCTTATCTTTAATGACCCTTTTTTAAAATTTAACTTTTCATTTAAAAACTTAATTAAAACGGGTTTTTTGGAAAAACTGTATGATTTTTGTTTTTTTTAATTTTCAGTTCACCCCTGGGGGGAAACCCGTTTAAATGCCTCTGCTGATTCTGGTTAATTTCTTCACCCGCGGAAAGTTATTTCAAAAAACAAAAACCATTTGATTTTGAAAATTTAACTGGGGGCCCAAAGTACGAAATTTTGTTGGAAAAATTTTTAAAAAACGGGAATATTTTGTTTTTTGTAGGTAAACGTTAGTAGTTTTTTAGGGTTTTTTCCCATTTTTTGGTTATAAAAATTTAATGAATTTAGAAAGTTTTTTCAGTTGCCTTCAGGAACGTAAGCAATCGTACTCAGTAATACAATACAATTATATAAATACTTACTTATCTAGTGACAAATAGAGATAAAAATAAATGTATAATTCCAATCATGCAAAGCATGTATTTTTGTCTTAAATGTGTGATGTTTTTCTTACATAAAAGAAATCAATCATGTTCTTGCATTTTGTGTTTTACAGTGGAAATGAGATGATGGAAATTTATATTTCAAACCTTGGACCCGTATAGTAATCTCATGTTCTTGCATTTTGTATTTTACAGTGGAAATGAAATGATGGAAGATTTGTATTTCAAACCTTGGACCCGTATAGGACCATACGTCGTCGGGTTCTTCACCGGATATCTTCTACATATTACAAAGTGCAAGGTTAAAATGCCGCAGGTTAGTGGTTTCTTTTATATTCTTGTTTAGATTAGTCCATATTCAACTTCATAGTTTGTATAAAATTCATCTGTACAAAATTACTTCTTGTATTTATAACTTTATTTTTATGCACGTAGAAACAACATTGTTGTAATCAAAATATTCTTTTATCAACATAAGAACAACATGGTCGTCAATCCATTTTCAACATGTATATTATTTACTCTGGTTTAACACACTTTTTAAACGTTCAGTAACTGGCTGAGAATTTCAATAGCCCGAGTCGTTTGGAAGGATTTATATTGTTAATTTAAAATTTATATTGTAAAACAACCGTTTATATCATTGGTTATACAAGTTGCTGACGGGATATTCTGGAAAAATAGCCTGATTGAATAAAATACAACCCAAGATTCAAATTGTAAATGTTCGTAACACAACCCAGTATGGTTCAGGTAATTGGCCAATGAGTAACTTTATGAATGAAATAACAGGACACAAACAATAAAACATTTCTGGGACATTATGGGTCTTAAATATAATTGTCTCTATTAATATTTTTCTCACATTGTTATAGATATTAAATGTTGTCGGCTGGATTATGGCAACAACAGCTGCTATGCTAGTTTTATACGGCTTGTACTCACCAGATGGTACGAAAATTCTCAGCGAGGATACGTCGGCATTCTATAATGCCACGTCAAGAACTGCATGGGGAATGTGTGTTGCTTGGGTTGTTTTCGCGTGTGCCAGTGGATATGGAGGTATGCATGACGAATCTTTATGTTAGAAACATATAAATAAATTTAGGGAATGTTTACAACGTTCTTCTATTTAAGAAATCAAGATAATGGAAAATAAATTTAAATAAATTGCAACACAAATCACATACATTTACAACATTCGTGGCCATCCGTGGCGAGTGGATAAGGCCGTTGACTTCAATCCACTTGCTTCTCACGGCTGTGGGTTCGAATACCGACAAGGACAGGGGTTCTTTCACGTGTTGATGCTATCAATTTGGCTAACGGAACGTCGGTGGTTGTACTCAGGTACCCGTTCGTTCCTGAGATTTTCCTCCACAAGTATATATGTGTCGGTGTGACGAAAAACCAAATCAATCAAACAAACAAACAACATTAACTATAAATAGGCTGAAATATTTTTTTTTTTCAATATCACTACTTGTATGATTCGCCTGTATAGCACGGTTAGTGGTTTGGTAATTTGTTCATTTTGAAATAATCAAAGGTCTTTAAATGTGCATTGAGACTTTACCGATTGGGAGCAAATTATATCACGTCTCGTTATAGAACAATGTTTCAAAATTTAGCAATAATGACAGCTGCTATAAAATTAGAGTCTGATATTTTTCTACTTTAAATATCTTTGGATGTATTTTCTATTGAAATATTATCTTGTTTCTTTCCAGGCCCTGTTAATAAGTTATTGTCATGGCGTGCAATTATTCCTCTCAGCCGCCTGACGTATTGTGCATATCTAGTACATCCGCTCGTGATGTATGCATATTATTCCAGCAAAAGAACCTTGATGAGATGGTACGATTTTGAAATGGTTAGTCCAAAATACAAATTCTTTATTATAGAAATTATCGTATACCTTGATTGTTGGATGCAACTACCATTTTCCTAAAGATACATACTATATTATACTTTGATAGAAAAATAACAAGCATAAATATTTTCAAAGATAGTTGTATAGTTAGTATTGCAGTAGATAATAATACACTTTATCACACAAGCAACGTGATAAAACAATATTACATAAAAGTAATAACACTTTTACGTGACTTTCATATGCGATATATACAGACATAGCTATAGGCGTGTCAACTAACAATTAAACTGTTTGTATTTTAAATATGTGATTAATAGAATATAATACTTATGTAGATCATAAACTAAATTAATTGAACTCGTTTAATAAAACAACACGATGCTCGCCAAAGGCTCGCATAACATTTTATTTAACTTTCAATGAATTTAGTATAAAATCTCGACTTATATCAACAATGGAACCTTTTATTATACGTTTGACGTAAAACTTGGCATTAAGAAATGTGAATTCTCTTTTTAGATATACATTTTCCTGGGCCACTTATGTGTATCGTATGCTGCAGCGTTTGTTATTTCTCTGGCGTTTGAATCTCCAATGATGGGACTAGAGAAAGTGTTGTTGGGAAGAAAGAAAAATAGTTGATCACCATGGCGACATAGATAAACAAATAAAAAGTGCAATATGAGTGAACTGTTTAATTCATTCACTTATATAACGCTTCGTAACCAGACTATATCTGATTTTTTAAAGATATTTTTCCTTATATTTTATGTGTTCCTTTTTGAACGTGTCTCTTGTTGTTTACATGTCTTTTGAAGAAATTTTATGAATTTGTGACTTTGAGTTTACATCGTAAACATGGAATAATGTCATGCTTTAAAACAACAATTTGTGTCATAATTCAATGTTTATGGTCTGGTCCAGAGCTCAACATTTTATTGTATAAAATATCAACTCTTTTCGAGCTGTAACCGAAAGTGGTTGGGTGAGGGAGGAATTTAAGTCAAAAGTAGTTTTGTTATTGATTACATGCGCATTTTAGGACAGGTAAATACTGGTTGAAATAATTATTAGAAACATGTTCAATTGAAATAAAACATTTTCATGGAAAGCGTTGAAATTCAACAGGTAATTACTTTGTAAATTTCGATTTTTTCATGTCTGTGCTGGCGAATGCTGCTTCTTTATAAAAAAAAGCTGATAAGCAGTTTTCTGAGACTAGTTAATGGAATGGTGGTTTCCTATTCAAACTTTCATTTTTGATTTCTTTGATAAGCCATTCAGTTGCGTGTATTGAAAGACAAATTTACAGACCTATGCCATACGTGCATTTAGTTATGATTATGTTTTGCCATAATTTAATAGTTTTGCATTCTTTCACTGATATAACTTCTATAGCCCCAAAAACGTTATGTCAACCAACAATCAATAAATAAATGCCATACATTTCACGGCGTGCAGGGATATTCCAAACATGTTATTTGAAATAAATTTTGTTATTAATATATATGGTATGCAGGCTTCATAACCTCTGATTCCCTTTCAAAATTTCATTTTGTTTAGTTCCACCTATTGTTTTCTCGTTTAGAGCACACGCTTTCTATTTTTTGGGGACTATACGCCGCTTTTCATGGAATGACAAGGAAGTTTCACATTGAAGGTTCCATGAGAATCACCGTATAAACACATCTGCGGATGTTTATAATTAAACATTTTACAATTCCATGTTTAAATGTCGAATTCTGCTTAAGCCGATGACAAGGGGCGTGGACGATAGTTTGCTATTGACAATACCGTCCATGAACAGGCTCTATCAAACCGAGCTTGCAAAATTTTTAATTTTGCCGTTTTGGGCTCTCCTTAGGGATTTTTATTTCCTCTATTTCACATATGCAACACACCGTTTTTAATATCAGTTAAAATGTAGCCTTTGTTTACTTGAAGTATTATATATTCGTTATAAATATTCCCGACAGGTTATATGACCGTATATAAACAGTTGTTTGCAATATTACCCTAACAACAGTTTCTTAAGGGGCCATATAACCTGTCAGCATCTTTATAACTTATAATATATAAGGCTGCTGTTAAAAATCTTTATAACTAATTTATAAAGATTATAAAGACAGGTTTGAAAGGTTATATTGCTTTATATAAACGATTGTTTGCCTATATAACCCAAGTTGCTTTGCAATAAGGGACCGAATAAAAACAGTAGCCTTCGCAATGATCACATTTCAGCCAATCAAACACACTATAATATTCTGACTCATTCAACGTACTCATATTAAAACTAGGCAGACTAATTTGTTGTTGTTTTTGTTGTTGTTTATTTTGTTGTTGTTGTTGTTTTCAGTGGATTGTTGGTTTCATACCTTTCTCTTCGTGAAATGGAAAAGAGAGGTGGCGCCCGTAAATTTAAGTGGGGAATGTTTTACTTTCATAGATTTTGGAGGTAAATATCGTAATAAAAGTGAATGTTGTCTTAACATTATGTAAATGAAGTCATATGTTTTTGTGTGTGTCGTAATTATGGCATGAATATAAATGAACATCATCTTGAAAAAACTCTACTTATTATTAGTTTTAATTCTTACGACAGATATATTTGTATCTAGAACCTTCAAGTTGTATGACAGATAAATCTAAACAAAATGTTTCTATGGCATAATGATCTTTTGGGCTTATTTACATTTAAACTTGTATAACATCGTTTCTGGTGATGCAATTTTTGAACGTTTTTATCATATGATGTTGTGTTTCATACAGTTTCATACATTATTAAGTGTTAAACAGTTTGTGTTCTTTTCTCTTAGATTGACACCACCGTACATGTTGCTACTAATGTTATACGTTCCAACCTTTAAATACTGGGGCAATGGACCAGGCTGGCCACAAAATGGGGTTGATGTAGACGAGTGCAAGGATACCTGGTGGACTAATTTATTATATATCAACAACTTAGTTAGAACTGATAAAATGGTATATATAACCCGATTTTTATTTATATATGACAACTTAATGAAGTAAATGTTAAAAAAAACTTAGATAGGTAAACAAGATAAAAAACGTTCAAAGCGTTATGAGTTATATAACAAGAAGAAAAACAATCGAAACTTATAATGTTACAAAAACTTAATTGCGTAGTTTTTTTTCTATTATAAGTCAACACTATAGCACTTATCTGTACCCACGGTAAATATTCCGTATACATGTATATGCATGTTTACCGATATCGGGTAAATAGCCTTGGTTACCAAAGATCAGTTGAGAGAATGCTTAGTTAAGTAACATTAAAACATAATGAGATATCTTGAAGAATGTTGTCGTATAAATGAATACAAATGAATATTAACTTTATTATCTAAGTAATTAATAACCGAACTAACAGAAACCGTTATTTATCAATATGAAATTACATAACTACAATATTTCTGTTTGACAGTGTATGGGATGGAGCTGGTACCTGGCTAATGACATGCAGTTTTATGTTCTGAGCCCTTTAATGCTGGTTCCCTTGTATTAGTAAGTGTTGCACTCTACTTACCTTTCGTTTCTACGCGCCCAATTATCAAGCCTTGAACGGCCATTTAACAAAGCCCATACATAAATTTAACAGGCTGAAAAATCCATTTGAACAAGTCGGAACTCCTGTTTAACCAGGCTCAAATTTCCATTTCACCAGACCTAACGTCCATTGAACCTGTCTCAATCGTTCATTCAATCAAAATCAATCGTTTATTCAACCAGTTTCAAACGTCCTTTTACCTGTCTCAGTTGTTCGTTCAAACATACTTAATCGTTCATAAAAACAGACACAATCGTTTCATCCATACACACTCAATCGCTCATTCAACAAGACTCAGACTTCCTCTTAACAAAGAATAGACGTCCATTTAACCAAACTTAAATTCGATTTAACCAGGCTCAAGTGTCCTTTTGACCAACGTTCTTATCATTCACTTCAAAAAAACTTAATCGTTCACTCAGACTCAAAAGTTCATTCTTGAACCAGACACAAAGACCATGTAACAAGCTAGATATTTTCTTTTAACTCGCTTAAACATCAATTTAACAAAGCTCTAAGGCCATCTCCCAGGTTCAATTCCCAATTTTTTACAGGCTCAAGTATTCGAAGCTTGTCGAAAAATTTGAAAACTTTTTATGTCAACAACATTTTTAATTTTTATACAATGTATACAAAGGGTTAAAAACTATCTATCTTTATGACCCTGTAAAATAAAACATTCAATTAGATCTTACTTCTACAGTTACGGTAAATCTTATGTTGCTGTTGTTGTGTTTTCAGTTCACCCCTCTGGGGCACCGTCTCATGCCTCTGCCTGATACTGGTAAACTTCATCAGCGCTGGAGTTATTTCTAAACAGAACCATTTGAGTGCAAACTTACTGGCGGCAAAGTACGTATAGGTGACAAATAATCAAAACTGAATATATGTTTATGTAGGAAAACGTTCAGTAGTGTTTTATTATTTTATAAATTATTGGTACTATACATTATTTAATGACATTTAGGAAGTTTTACAGTTTCCTTCATAGGTTTTCGGCGCGTTGATTAGTCACTACCACCGGGCCAACTCCCCCCTCCCACATTCTACAACTATCCTACCTCTCAAAACCATGTAAACCGCAGTATTTTTCATTTAAAACATGTTTTAATATTTGGTATATGCTTTTAATTCAATTACCTTCATCTCACACAAAAAAATATATATATACATGTATAATATATTTAGTAAAGGTATGCAACTGGCCGCTCATTTTTCAGCACTCATCTTAGTATGAGCTCCATAACTCCAACATTTTTTCCCTTATTTTTAATATCTTGGTACCAAATGGTAGGGAATTGATTACTCTTAAAGGACTTTAAGCTGTCATTACAATCATTTCAAGTTTAAGAAGATATGTTATCTCGAAGTCAACGCAAGTGTAACTTGACATAAGTTACTTAACATAAATACCTGACCGCTCGGTTTTTGTCAAAATTACCCGACTAAACGGCAGTTTATTCGAAATGAATGAATATTTTTTTGTATTGCCCATATAAATATGATCAAATTATATTAATATTTGTAATAACTGTTAAATCAAAACGTCATATAAAAATATAACAAACGATATTCCGATATTTCAAATTCCAAATCTAAATGCAAGTAATTGTTCTGAAGAGTGCTCTCCTCTTCTTTAATTTTGTATGGAGTATTGGTCCAAGGTTTTCACACAACCAATGAAAATACTCTATACCAATACATCCGTTTAGACATGTGTACTTTCATTTTGGATGGAGGATTTAACAAATCATTAAAATGGTTCGCTATAGTTTTGAACTTGAACTTTTAAACTTGAAAATGATTGTAAGGACAGCTTAAATTCCTTTAGTAATCAAGTCCCTACCATTTTGTACCAAGATATTGAAAATTGGTGAAAAATGTTGGAGTTATGGAGTTCAGTTCATATTAAGTTGAGTGCTGAAAAATGAGCGGCGAGTTTCATACCTTTACTAAATATATTATATATCATTTTTTTTTTATTTTTATGTAGGAGATGAAGGTAATTGAATTAAAAGCATATACCAAATATTAAAACATGTTTAAAATGAAAAATACTGCAGTTTACATGGTTTTGAGAGGTATGAGGGTTGTAGAATGGGTGAGGGGGAGGGGAGTTGGCCCGGTGGTAGTGACCAATCAACGCGCCGAACACCTGTGGTTTCCTTCAGGAACGTCAGCGATCGTACTCAGAAATACAATAATGTAAATACTTACTTATCTATTGACATATATAGATATAAATACATGTAAAATTCCCCTATTGCAAAGCATGTATTAGTGCCTTACATTTGTGATGCTTTTCTTACTTGGTAATCAATATTATTATTTCCTTGCATTTTGCGTTATACAGTGGAAATGAGGCGATGGCAGATTTATATATCAAACCTTGGACTCGTATAGGACCTTACGTCGTAGGATTCTTTACTGGATATCTTCTACATATTACAAAGTGCAAGGTCAAAATGTCACAGGTTTGTGGTTTCTTTTATATTCTTGTTTAGATACGTTCATATTAAATTTCATAGTCTAAAATTCATCCTACAAAATTGCTTATTGTATTAATAACTTTATTGTTATGCACGTAGAAACATCATTGTTGAAAAAACTTTTGACACGTTCAGTTACTGGTTGGAAATTGCAACATTGTACAGTTGTCTAGAATTGCCTTTCTTTAGGGATTTTGTTTTTCTCTGTTTTAATATAATTGTGGCTATTGATGTTTTTTTTTCTTCTCATTTTGTTTAAGATATTAAATGTTGTCGGCTGGATTGTGGCAACAACAACTGCTATGCTAGTTTTATACGGCTTATACTCACCAGATGGTTCAAAAATTCTCAGCGATGATACGTCGGCATTCTATAATGCCACGTCAAGAACTGCATGGGGAATGTGTGTTGCTTGGGTTGTTTTCGCGTGTGCCAGTGGATATGGAGGTATGCATGACGAATATTTATGTTAAAAACATATTAATAAATTTAGGGCATGTTTACAACGTTCTTCTCTTATAGAAATCCAGATAATGGAAAATTAATTTAAATAAATTGCAACACAAATCACATACATTTACAACATTCGTAGCCATCCGTGGCGAGTGGATAAGACCGTTGACTTCAATCCGCTTGTTTCTCACGACTGTGGGTTCGAATACCGACAGGAACAGGGGTTCTTTCACGTGTTGATGCTATCAATTTGGCTAACGGAACGTCGATGGTTGTACTCAGGTACCCGTTCGTTCCTGAAATAATGCACGAAAGGGCACCTGAGATTTTCCTCCACAAGTATATATGTGTCGGTGTGACGAAAAACCAAATCAATCAAACAAACAAACAACATTAACTATAAATAGGCTGAAATATTCTGTTTTTTTTTTTCAATATCACTACTTGTGTGATTCGCATGTATAGCACGGTTAGTAGTTTGGTAATTTGTTCATTTTGAAATAATCAAAGGTCTTTAAATGTGTTAATTTTTTCATGTGCATTGAGACTTACCGATTTGGAGCAAATTATATCACGTCTCGTTATAGAACAATGTTTCAAAATTCAGCAATAATGACAGCTGCTATAAAATTAGAGTCTGATATTTTTCTACTTTGAATATCTTTGGATGTATTTTCTATTGAAATCTTCTCTTTTTTCTTTCCAGGCCCTGTTAATAAGCTATTGTCATGGCGTGCAATTATTCCTCTGAGCCGCCTGACGTATTGTGCATATCTAGTACATCCGCTCGTGATGTATACATATTATTCTAGCAAAAGAACCTTGATGAGATGGTACGATTTTGAAATGGTTAGTCCAAAATAATAATAATCTTTATTATAGAAATTATCGTATACCTTGATTGTTGGATGCAACTCCCATTTTCCAAAAAATACATGCTTTATCAAACTTTGATAGAAATATAACAAGCATAAATATTTTCAAAGATAGTTGTACATTTAGTATTGCAGTAGATTTTTAATACACTTTATAACACAAGCAACGTGATAAACCCATTTAATATAAACAATATTACATAAATTTAATAACACTTTACGTGACTTTTATATGCGATATATGCAGACATAGCTATAGGTGCGTCAACTAACAATTAAACTGTGTGTATTTTAAATATGTGTTTATAGAATATAATACTTATGTAGATCATAAACTAAATTTATTGAACTCGTTTAATAAAACAACATTATGCTCGCCAAAGGCTCGCATAACATTTTATTTAACTTTCAATGAATTTAGTATTAAATTTCGACTTATTCAATATCCTCTATATCAACAATGGAACCATTTATTATATGTTTGACGTAAAACCTGGCATTAAGAAATTTGTATTCTCATTTTAGATATACATTTTCCTGGGCCACTTATGTGTATCGTATGCTGCAGCGTTTGTCATTTCTCTGGCGTTTGAATCTCCAATGATGGGACTAGAGAAAGTGTTGTTGGGAAGAAAGAAAAATAGTTGATCACCATGGCAACATAGATAAACAAATAAAAAGTGCAATATGAGTGAACTGTTTAGTTCATTCACTTACATAACGCTTCGTAACCAGACTATATCTGATTTTTTAAAGATATTTTTCCTTATATTTTATGTGTTCCTTTTTGAACGTGTCTCTTGTTGTTTACATGTCTTTTGAAGAAGTTTTATGAATTTGTGACTTTGAGTTTACATCGTAAACATGGAATAATGTCATGCTTTAAAACAACAATTTGTGTCATAATTCAATGTTTATGGTCTGACCCAGACCTCAACACTTTATTGTATAAAATATCAACTCTTTTTCAACCTGTAACCGAATGTAGTTGGGTGAGGGAGGAATTTAAGTCAAAAGTCTTTTTTAAATTGATTACATGTGCATTTCGAGAGAAGTAAATATTGGTTAAAATAATTATTAGAAAAATGTTCAATTGAAATAAAACATGTTCATGGAAAGCGTTGAAATTCAACAGGTTATTACTTTGTAAGTTTCGATTTTTCATGTCTGTGCTGGCGAAAGTTATGCTGCTTCTTTATAAAAAAAAAGCTGGAGACTAGTTAATGGAATGGTGCTTTCCTATTCAAACTTTCATTTTTCATTTCTTTAATAAGCCATTCAGTTGCGTGTATTGAAAGACAAATTTACAGACCTATGCCATACGTGCATTTAGTTATGATTATGTTTTGCCATAATTTACTAGTATTGCATTCTTTCACTGATATAACTTCTATAGCCTTCGAAACGTTATGTCAACCATAAATAAATAAATACCATACATTGCACGGCGTGCAGGGATATTCCAAACATGTTATTTAAAATAAATTTTGTTATTAATATTAAACTGAATATTAATATGTGAAAACAAAGATGTGTTTTACAACTTACGACTTTAAACGTTTTCGTCTTATTATTTTATGGTTGAATGAAAAAAGAAATAATTCATGTTTTATGTTTTTGTTATAATATATGTCTTTGTTTGGTTTCATTATCTTAGCTAAAAAAGATATGACATCAAAGCGCTAAAATGATAGAATTATTAGAATAATTATTTCTATTAGGACATTTAAAGACATCAATAAATAGTACATGAAATGAAACATTTCTAAGTTTTATTTCAATTCAATTCACACGAATCTCTAAATGCCCGGTAAAATGAGAGAAATAAGTCAAACTTGTACATCCCCTGAAACAATAAGCAAATTCATAAACAATCATATTGAATGATGTATTCAAAGTACAGAATTTTTAGCTCACCTGTCACAAAGTGACAGGGTGAGCTTTTGTGATCGCTTTTCGTCCGGCGTCCGTCCGTCCGTCCGTAAACTTTTACTTTAAATGACATCTCCTCATAAACCACTAAGCCAATTACATGCAACCTTCACAGTATTGTTCCTTTGGTGGTCACCTTTAAAATTGTTCAAAGAATTTAATTCCATGCAGAACTCTGGTTGCCATGGCAACCGAAAGAAAAAACTTTAAATATCTTCTTTTAAAAAACCCAAAGAGCTAGAGCTTAGATATTTAGCATTAAACATCTTCTAATGAGTGTCTACCAAGTTTGTTCAAATAAAAGCCCTGGGGTCAAAATTGGCCCCGCCCCAGGGGTCATTGATTTTCCCTATATGCATATAGTAAAAACTAAAAAAAATCTTCTTTTAAAGAACCCAAAGAGCTAGAGCTCAGATATTTAGCATGAAACATGTTCTAATGGGTGTCTACAAAGTTTGTTCAAATAAAAGCCCTGGGGTCAAAATTGGCCCCGCCCCAGGGATCATTGATTTTTCTTATATATGTAAAGCAAAAACTTAAAAAATCTTCTTTGAAAAAACCCAAATAGTTAGAGTTTAGATATTAAGCATGAAACATCTTCTAGTGAGTGTCTACAAAGTTTGTTCAAATAAAAGCCCTGGGGTCAAAATTGGCCCCGCCCCGGGGGTCATTGATTTTCCTTATATGTGTATGGCAAAAACTTGAAAAAAACCCAAATAGCTTGAGTTTAGATATTAAGCATGAAACATCTTCTAGAAGGGTGTCTACAAAGTTTGTTAAAAAAAAGCCATGGCGTCAAAACTGGCCCGCCCCAGAGGTGTCATTGTTTTTAACTATATGTGTATAGTAAAAACTTTAAAAATCTTCTGTTAAAAAACTCAATGAGTTAGAGGTTAGATGTTTAGCACGAAACAACTTCTTGTGGGTGTCTACCAAGTTTGTTCAAATAAAAGCCCTTGGGTTAAAATTGGCCCTACCGGGGGTTGGGGCAGAAGTCATTGTTTGTCATTATATGTGTGTAGTAAAAACTTAACATCATGAAACGTCTTCTAAATGGTGTCTTCCAAGTTTGTTCAAATAAAAGCCCTGGCGTTTAAACTGGCCCCGCTCTGGGGCCTATATACAGGTGAGCGACCTTAGGGCCATCATGGCCCTCTTGTTATATAATGTTCCGAAACCAGCTTTGTCTTGTAGTTAAAACTACATCTTACATACCACATTGGCTTTACAGTATTAATAAATTAAAGGTTCCAAATCGACCAGAAAAGTAATCAAGTTATGTAATTAAAGCAAACTTTAGTAGTATTTTTAAACATTATTAGTTATAGTTTAATATATATTTCTCATTTTATATGTACTCAATAATGGTAGACCGCGTCTTGATGCGCAGTGAAATTGTCATTCATTAAGGGGATAATCATTTATTGTATCCTGTAGCAAATAGGTACACATTCCCGTTTTAGAAATTTTACAACAGGAAATATTCCATACATGAGGTTGCCGGTATTCAAGAAATGAAACTATACGTGTTTAGAATATAAAGTAACACGTGTTTAAAATATGAACCTACACGTGTTTATATTATGGAACTACACGTGTTTAAAATATGAACCTACACGTGTTATAATTATGAAACTACACGTGTTTAAAATATGAACCTACATGCGTTTTAATTATGAATCTACACGTGTTTTAAAATATAAAACTTCACGGTTTAAAATATAAAACTGCATTTGTTTAATATAAGACACTACACGTGTTCAAAATATGAATTGCGTATACCATTGTACCAAATACACATGCACTTTTCTTAAGCATTTCAGCCTACATATAAATGATATAACATATGTTATACTTTTATCACTTAAGGTATAATTAACTTTGTCATTTATCAGACAAAACATGACTTTTTAGCAGACTTCTTAATATAAAAGAGATAAAATATAGACAATGACAGCCTTTCTTTTATATAAAATTCCTAGGTTTTATATCATGGCTCTTTAATAACAGCGTAGAAATAAGAGAAGCCGATGGTGTCATATGATATATAAAGCAGTTAAAATATGATGATGCTTATAATTCGTTTTATGCGACCATAAGGGAGCTTGACACACTGAGTGTATAATAAGCATTAAACAAAAGAATACAAAATATATAAGATGTTAACCACGATGGGAAACAGTGTACACGCTTTGACATCTTTTTTAGTAACATATGGCTTTTATACACTTAGTCCCTCGCCAAGTGGCCAATTGTTGAACATTCTTCTCTACCTTTCGATTAAGTTGTTCGGGCAACCTTTTTGTAAACGATATTTACATATCATAATGCAAACGGTTTAGTAGCAAATACATACACAAATGGGTTGCATTGTTTTCTCATTTTTTTTTTTACATTTTTAGATTATCAATAGTTGGCATCCAAGAAATTCCCTATTTCCAATATCAGATACAGTTTGGTTTTTATTACAGTTGTTCGAATTTCTCTCGTCTCAGTACAATTATAAATATAATATGTTTTCATGAAATGACACTACTGTGTGTTCCATGATAACCGCCGTATGAACGCATCTGCGATAATTTTAAATTCAAAATGTCACCTTTTTGTGTTTAAATGTTGAATTCTGCTTAAGTCGGTGCTAGGGGGCGTGGACGGTAGTTTGCACTTGACAGTACCGTCCATGAACAGGCTCAATCAAACCGAGCCTGCATCATTTTTAATTTTGCCGTGTTGAGCTTTCTTTAGGGATTCTGTTTTTCTCTATTTGAATTTATTATATTTATTATATGATTCATAACAAGCATTCTACTCTTCCAGAAGTAGAAATATGATAATTATATTACCGAAACTTTTTACTTTGTATTTGCTTCCCTTTGATCAGCATTAATATGTGTACAAACACAATCTAATGGAATTATTGGCTATGTTTGAACAGTATTGTCTTAGAAAATTGGCGTTTTATTCAAGCACTTTGCATGTTTTCAATTCAAAATATGTGACTGACGACTCTGTTTTCGCTAAACAAATCTGCACCTTCTTGGGTTTTGCCAATAATGTACTTTCAAAGTTTGAATCACAAATATTTGAATATTACCTTGTATAATGATTATCCCAGATCAGTAAATACCAACATCCCACAAAATGAATCATAACCTGTCAGACACTAAAATGATAAATGTTGCCTATCAATCATTTCAACGCCCTATATTTACAGAATGAACGTCTAATCAACTCTTTGCACGCCAATTTGATATTTTCATTCTCGTTTTTATTTGTTCTACATAAATGCATTGATTTAACATCAACTAATGTCCAGCTAGAAATATAAAGATATATTTGCTACCATCAGATTATGTTTATATGTTGCCAAACATTTTTTATTATTATTTACTTCCACTCATCGTCGCTCCCGATCGCTTATGAGAAAGATAATTAAAGATACCTTTGTAATAAATGTTGGTGTACTAAAATAACAGAAATATTTCATGCAGGTCTAACTCATTAATTAAGTTATTGGCTTAATTATATCTTTTTGTGAACAGAAGCTACATTAACCACTTATAAGTTAATGCTGGGAAGGGAGAAATCAATTAAGAACAATTAAACAAAAACAGCAGACTCAATTTTGTCGTGTTTGTTGTTTTTTCTGTTTTTTTCTTCTCTCGATTCGATCAAATTAAAACAAAATGCAATACAATACAATGCAGTATATTATTTTATCACACACCCGTGCCGATTTTGCGACTCCGTAAATATGGTATTGCACGGCCGTGCATAAATTTTGATGTGACGTCATTAGCGTTATACAAACATAGTGTAAAGACGCGCTTAATGTTAGCGTTAAACTATAGGCGCGTCAAAGAAAAATGACTCTTATTTCACTTTAAAAGGTATTTATTTTGGGTATGTGATAAATATAATATTAAATTCGTGTAAGTTCATTACTGAATTTATTGCACTCGTTGAATAAAATAATATTATGCTCGCCAGAGGCTCGCATAATATAGTTTTATTCAACTTGTGCAATAAATTCAGTATTGAACTTACACTCATTCAATATCCTCTATCTATGCAAAACAATACAATACATTACAATACAATACAAATTACTTATTTGCAATTATTTACCAAGTTAATAGCAGAAACATATATATACAATTATAAAAATGAGAACGGGCATGACATGAAACTATATATTAATATAGTATTCATTGAAATGTCTTATACATGTATTATAGGATAATAGAAGGTTGCACAAAAATTAAATGGTTAAATGAATCATCCAGATATACCCTTTCTATTAGTAAAATACAAAACCTTCGAAAGATTTAAGCTCTTTTTTTTCGTTTTGGAATTTAATAAAGATTCAAACTTATCCATAGGAGGCCAAATACTATTATATAAGCATGGGAATTAGCATGTTAGTCATGTAATAAAGTTTTTATATCAAATTACGTATTGATGTAAATATGCGTAACTGCATACCATATATTCCCTCACCACTTATGAAACACTTGGTAAATCTAGTCAAGATAGGATAGCATAGTTTTGTAAATAGAAACTGGCATTATGTATTGCAGACTGAAAGAAAACCAATGAAATATAATTTCAAATAAACACGTTTAAAGCTGTTGAACTGTATCATTTCCATCATTTTATATTCAGGTAAT